AGTTATAGTCACTGAAAGTCTAGCAAAAAAAGCTAACGTCTACCTTAATTATATCTAATGTACATACTTAGTTTGCAATTTATACATTTCCTGGATGAGGTTATCTTATTTTGTTCTGTTGCTTCACCCATGGCACATCCACACAAACCTGGATGTAAAAGTTAAGTCTCATAGTTCCATGCTCAAAGCCTGATTCTGGCACCCTTCCTTACATTGGGTGGAACTTTACTATGGAAGTAGTCCAATTGACTTCAATAAAATTACCACTCAACAGGAATAAGGACCAAGAGAGAATAAAAGTTTAGGATATAATCCTAAATGGTGCTGAGCATCCATAATTCCTATTAACTTCAGTGGGTACTCAGCAATGGGTAATCAGACTATCATAGTGTTTAGGGAAGCTCAAAGACAAAAATTTTCAGTGAAACTTTTTCAGGGGTATTGGTCTCATTTTGATACATGGAGAATTACTCATGTATACACGATTAGAAAAGAACCCTCAAAGATATGGTACAAATCCAATATAAAATGGTATTTATGTTGCATTTGGGTTTTCACAAAGTTACTGTACATTCAAAAACTAAAGGGGCTATTCAGTGTGTAGAGAAATATGGAGGTGATTCAGTTTAAGATTAATGGGAACTATACACATGTAAGTCTATCATGCATCTATCTATGTATCTTAGTAGTTACATGGTTCTCATCACTATTATCTGAGCACCTAAAGGAGAGCAAGATCCTAAGTAGGAGCCAGGCTCATTTTTAATCATTATAATGACTGAATGTATATTTATGGCTGATTTTACATGAAATATTAAATTGGACCCAAATAGTCACCTTCTTTCTGCCTTCTCAAAAGTAAAACAAAATGGAACAAAATAGAGAGCTGACACATTTAACACATTCCAGCTGTCTTTCAGCCACAACTCCTTTTTTCCCCTACCTATGACACTTATTTAAAACTCACACATGCATAATTTTATAAAATGAAACAAAAAGCACAAAAAAACCCTAAGTATTTCACTTCACTAAGTGTAGACAAAAACATTTCTTATGAAATAAAAAATGAATGAAATCTCACTTAAAACCTGTCCCAGAAAACATCAAAAGAGTTCAGATCAATTGTGGTCAGAATGTAGGTAACTGTCTTTTTTATACAAAGTTTCTTGCATGTTTTTAATTGGAGTAAATTAAGATTTGTTTGCAGCTAATTCTACTGTTTTTGAACTTGTACATTCCTCAGCTCTAAGCAAAGAATATTAGCAATGCACACCTCAGAAAGGAATAGTTTTGTGATTAGAAAAACATAGTGTCTGCATATTTGGCATATATATTCACCACATTCTCCTCAAATTCAGCAAACCCACATACACACAGAGAACACAACCTTTGGCTGAACTAGGTTTCAGGATACCGAATAACTAATTAATGCAAAGGAGACAGCTACAAAACTAAAGCACTTATTTTACACCAAGGCTGATGTGAATCAACAACCATGACTTAGAATAATAATGTCCATAACAAAATTTGCAAGTAACAAGGTACACTCTTTCATTTAAAAAAAGAACAGGAGTACTTGTGGAACCTTAGAGACTAATTTATTAGAGCATAAGCTTTCGTGGGCTACAGCCCACTTCATTGGATGCTGTAGCCCACGAAAGCTTATGCTCTAACAAATTGGTTAGTCTCTAAGATGCCACAAGTACTCCTGTTCTTTTTGCGGATACAGACTAACACGGTTGCTACTCTGTAAGTAACTTGTGAGCTTGCTACTGGTTCCAATGAAGTCAACGGGAGTTTTGCAATTAACTTTAATGGAAGTCACCCAGTCAACAAATACTATAGAAAACCAGGTCTTCCTTTTGCAAAGGGAAATTACAAGAAGTCTAATTGGGAATAAAGAAAGGAGGTTATTTCTAGAGACAGATCACTAGACAGCCCAGATTTCTATTTGGCTGTGACTATCAACCTGACTACATTGAACCACAACAAATACTAGTCAACTATATAATTAATACAACCAAGGCATGTCGTTTACATGTAGTAATCCCCTCACCCACCCCCATTCACTCTCCTCTCCAGCTCTGTCTGTGTAAGCACAAGCATAAATACTCATAGGGAAACCAGTCTGAAGAGACCATCCAATGGACCATCAAAGTCAATCCACAAAAAGAGCTGCTCTTTAACTAAAAGCCCGGCACAATTGTGATGGAAAGTCGGGAGACACTTTCGACTGGTAGCCGAGGATGGGGAAAGAGAGGCCGCCCATTGGAGGTGGCTCTTTAGTGCAAGACCGAGAGAATTACAAGGGAAGTGTATTGCTCCGAGTAATCGCTCAACGTGAGTGCTGGCCGTTAACAATGGAAGAAAGAGAGAATGGGTCAAGAAACAGGTTGAAAGAAAAGAGAGACAGCCAGACAGGCTGCTGAAAGGAAGAGGGGGCCACAGGCACTCTCCTCACGTGGTGGCAGCCTACAGCATGCGCGAGCAGCAGCAGCCGGGAGGGCTAGCTCCAGCCACCCCGGGCGCTCAAGCAGAAGCCAACAAACCTACAGCACGGTATGTGGGGCCTGATCCTGCCTTTCTGGACGGCCAACATTCCTCCTGCCTTCAAAGGGTAGTTTTGGTTGTGCAAGGAAGGCAGGGCGAGGCACGTTAGAGCTAATCTCACTGGAATCATCCACTTTCCATATTTAAAGTGGCCTTGAAACTTCCAAGTTCTCTCAGCTGTTCCCAAATCGAGTGGCTGCCGATGGGAAGCAGCAACAATATTGCGCTGTAAATAAAAATAAGCGGCGGGGGGAGAGGGGGTGTTTGCACTTAGCGATCAGCCTTGTGGACCAGTTATTCTGATAGCGCTACAATAAGGAATGAGGTTGTGCCCAGAAGCCTCTCTACAGGTTTCCTTTCTACCCACCCCAAGACTTCAGTGCTTAGAAACACCTCCTAGAGAGCAGGGGAAATGAGCCCAGTTCTGGGATTCAAGGCTTTCTAATAAACCATGGCGGGGGGAAGAAGCATATGCTAAAAAGTGCACTGAAAGCACTTTGTCGTCCAAGCACCGTTGTAAAGTGCAAGGAAAGTGGAAACTCTAAGCCCCGAGAAAGCAGGTCCATAGAAATCCCACCGAGTGACACAGCAAAGCCCTTGAGCCCAACTCCACTTGCTGCTGCTGCCCAGACTTCCCCTTGGCCTCGCCTCCCAAAGCGGAGGAAGCAGGTGAGCTCTCAGCCTACACACACAGATCGGAAAGAAAAAGAGACCAAGTCACCACCTGGGGGGGGGGGGTTAACCGTGTTAGCCTTGGAAGTCACTTACCGGCTTTACAGGGATCCTTATAATCTATCGCTTCAGCTTTATCTTCTTCATTGAAATCGTAAGTGTAGTCATAATCAAGGCCAGAGCAGGAGGAGAGCTTCCCCCAGGCAGTCAACCCAGCCAGCCACAACGCCAGCCTCCAGCAAAGCATTGTCATCCTCTACCACAGAGGTGGGCAAAGGGGCAGAGAGGAGCTAGGACTGAGCTGCTGTCCACGCTGGACCGATACAGGAAGGCAAGGGATGGAGGGGAAATTTCTCTTCTCCTCCGCTGAGATGCTGTGGTCTCTAGGTGTCCCCAGTCATATGGACATACCATAGAGAAGGAGAATGTTGCTTCCCCTTCTCCACCCCCTCCCCTTGCAGGGGAGAAGTTGCCGGGTGGGTGGGCGCAGGGCGTGGGGGGGGGATGTAGTCTGACTAGGGATCTCGCCTGTCAGGGCGTCTTCTCGCCTCTGTCACCCCCCAGCCAAACTTTCCACCGCTGCTGCCAGGGCTCCGGGGCCGGGGCAAGTCGGATCCTTTCCGCCGGCTGCCTGCTCCCGAGCGCTCCGCTGATCCCGTTGCTGCTGCAGCTGCTGCGGGAAGATGGATCCGGTGTGCACATCGGCAAACTGCCACCGGGCGAAAGAGAGAGAGAGAGAGAGAGAAGAGGGGTGCTAACAACAATTTCCACTACAGCAGACCTCAGAGCCCTTCACAGTGATGGGTAGAAGCAGCAGCACTGAGGGGAACAGAGAGAAAAAGTGCAAGGGCTTCCCCCTTTCCCCCCTTTGCTCTGTGTCTCTGGTCTCCCCCCCCCCTCCTCCCTCCCAGCTTATAAAAACCTTACAGGCAACTAACAATCGTCAGCATCCTGCTTACTTATTCATACAGTCAGGGTCAGGATCCGGGCTGCTTCTGATCTGCACTCTTGATAGTCTTATGAAAACACATACGCACTCACTGTATGCCTCTCTCTCCATATAGCTGTCTCTACAGATAAGCAACGCATGGTATTTCTTTCTTTCTTTCTTTTTTTTAAAGAGGGGGGAAATCTTGCGGGAATCAGATGAAACACCACACGGGCCAACTCTCAGCAGCGAAGGAGACTCGGGAGAATCCGTGAGGATGAAATGAGGATGAGAAATCACTGCACTCTTTCCCCCCGTCTCTAAAGAAGTGCCTGTGTGTTTCTCCCTCTACTGCTACCGCGCAGCGTTAGCCCCATGAGTGGGGGTGGGGGGAGTTTAAGCGTCCATAGTTTGTTTAAATACGGGCAGGAGATATAAAAGGTCCATTGATCTCCAAACTTCAGCCAAGGAGCTGGGGAAGCAGTTCCAAAATGAAAGTAAGATACAAATAAAAAGGCAAATGCAACGTAAAATTACAGATTGCAACAGGCAACGCTGAGACCTTGCAGTCCGGCTTTGCTTTTTTCACGTGGATCTGAAGGAGAGTTGTAAAGGTTTATTTTCAAAAGTTCCCGTAGAAGCAGCAGCGCCAGCTCGCTCTCTTCCTCCCTTGGCTTCAATGCGCGACTTTGTATAATTCAGGCTGAGCATTCAGTCACTCGCAGGCAGTGAGGGTGAGTTGTTGGTGGGTTGTTGTTTTCCTTAAAGCCAGACCGAACGGATCAACACGGAGAGCCTCCTTTCAGCCGGCCAACCTGAAGAAAGAAAACGTGCTGCTGGAATAAAACTAAAGCGATAAAAATACCATGTGTCTATTTAACTCCCCCTCTGAGACAGAGTGATTCCGATCCTGCAGTCACGCCTCAAACTGTAAACTAAGGTGAGATTTTTTTTCCCTAACAAACTCCTCCTCCTTTTACAAATTTCCATGGAAAGGAGGGTGGTAGAAAGGAGGGGTAGGTAGCTGGGAGTTTCTGCTGTTCAAATCTCGTTATGGTGTCACATTTAACACCGGCTTTTGAAAGGGCTGTGAAGATGCTGTCTTTATTTTACATCAGAGCCCTCAAAAGGCTGGTATGTCCTAACAACTTCCCCAGGCAAGAGATAGTCCCTTATTCCTTAGCATGTGAACAAGATGCATGCATCTGCTCCTGTGCGGTGCAGACAGGGGGACACAGTCCTCATAAATAAAATCAGATTGGACTGAACATTTATTCGTGCTTGCTTCATTTTCTTATACTTCAGTACTATAGCAAATGCTGTTTCTCAAGGTTTAGTGTTTGTAAAGTTAGATGTGTGATCTACCTTTAAGCTGTGGCTGCTGCTGATTAGAGCTGTCTGAGAGGAAGGTATGCAGTGTTGTTATAGCCTGTTGGTCCCAGGATATTTGGGAGACAAGGTGGGTGAAATAATAGCTTTTATTGGACCAGCTTCCAGTTGGTGAGAGAGACCAGCTTTATACAGAGCTCTTCTTCAGGTGGTGGAAGTTTGGGGAAGAGGAGCAGGAGACACAAATGTGAGACTGGGGGTTGTGATTCTGATAGCCAAATCTGGATTAATTAAAAGAGCCCCTTGTCTTCACTGGAGTTATTAATGTATTTTCTGTGACTACATAATCCTGGCTACTAAAAAAGAAAAGAATAGTCACATCTAGCTGTCCGCTATCCAGTTTATGTCAATCTATTTTATTTGAGCCCATCAGTGTGAGATTCATTTATTCCTCAAAAATGAATGGTGGGTGTTGCTCTGGTGCAGTGCTATAGATAGATACCCTGCCCCCCCAGTTAATGCAATTAAAACTGGGAAGGAGTTGGAAGTGGTAGCTTGCTGCCCTATACCACATTCAGTGTCAAACATCAATTAACGTCAACATTTTCAGAAGCATTCATTAATTTTGTATACCTCAATTTCAGGGGACCCCACTTAAGAAATTGTGTGCCTTATTTTCAGAGGCGACGGGGATCAACAGCTCCCTCTGGCTTCATCTGGTCTAAAATTGGTCAACCCAAAGTTGAGACCTCAACATGAGTAAACACTGCTAAAAATTTGGCTGCAATATTTCTTAAAAGGTAATTTGCCAGCACTTCAGTTTACTGTGGGTTACAGAAGCCTGCGAACAGCATGTTACATCAGCTCACAAACAAGCCTGAAAAACTTAGCAGCTATTTTTCTCCTTTCAGCATAGTTTCCATGACCAGCACTCATAACAGTTAACAGTTCTGAATACAGGCACATCAACTCACAAAGAGGAATCAGAAAACGTTTCTATTAAAACCATCAAAGAAATGCTAAAATATAATGGCTTGTCTTTATCCCTGTGATATTTTGGACTGTGGTGGGCTGTATCTATTAACAAATACAGTATTCTACAGAGCGGGCTTGTGTGCCTTGATCAGAACAAAAACCTAACTTCTACTATTTTATATTATACTATATAATATTTGTTCTAAAATGTGACTAGTCACTTTTTTAGTTCACAAATTGGACTTCAGTAATCTTGTCCCTAAGAAAAACAGATTTCGTTTATTGTCCTGTTAATCAAACCTAGTTCTGTATACAAATATAAATAGATATACCTACCTTTGAAACATTGATTTTCTTTGTAAGTGCTGTGGATCCCAAACACAAAACAGAACTTGTCTTAAACCTATAAAACACATTTACGGACACACCCATGTATCAGTAGAGTGTTCGTAATCTTGGTATTTGCCTGTTCTTTTGTAGCCATGGGAAAACAGTGTACAGTATGTGATCCCAAATGTGCCAGTCTTCTCAGTGAGATGATTATTAGACTGTCTCGCTCTCTTCCAGTGGGAGATTAACTCTCTCAGCAAGGTACGCACTGACGTCACCCTTAGCCTCCAGCCGACAATCTGCCCCTGACCTCAGCGTCACCAGAAACATCAGAACAGAACTAGCCACTAACAGGCTTGAGGACAGCTTGCCTGGTAGAATTCTAACCAAGATGAGAAAGACACCCAGGCATACACCTGTGCCAAAGACATAGAAATAGATCCTCTGTGCTTGTCATAGTAGATGGGGATAAAATGTAAATGTATGATGTGTGCAGATCAAGTAGATGTGATTTACAGGTTCAGGACAAGATCTGCTTTGTGTTTGTTATCCATAACAACTACAGATTAAATTAATGATTCCGATTTAAATTTAAAGCTCTTGCCATTTATAACAGTTCATAGCACTTAGATATCACAGTGATGGGTATTCTAGAAAAACGTAAGATAAAGAAATAATAAATGTGTACTACTACTTGCATCAATCACTTTAGAAAATCCTTAATCATTAATAGAAATTATTTTCATGGTTTACTTAAATCATTTGATTACATCATCATTTCCTAATAAAAACTTTCAGAAGTGTAATCGTCCCCATATTCAATATAGCTTGTTTGTGGCTGCACAATTTAAAAAACACCACTTTAAACGGGGGGGGAGGGGAGGGAATATCACACATATGTCTCTACCACTCCAAAATGCTCACAGTTCTGACAGTCCATGTGACAACACAATCAATCAATCAAAATCCATCCTACAGCCGTTTCCAAAGAAACCAACACATAGCCAAAGAGACAGACCGCATAAGCTGGAAGGAAACCAACCAAAGGAACACAACAGCAGTGGCAACAACAAAAACCCCAACCTGCAGCATTTCCACTTTTCTCCAAAATGTTGAATATGTTATAAACCAAACAATACTGAAAATGCTATAGTGTAAATGATATACAGAATAGGTGGTGGTGGCATACTTCTTTCATCCTGTCTCAGGGTAATTCACTGGAACGGGGCTATCGAGGTTCTCTTCCACCACAAAAAGTATTAACAAAAAACCCCAAAATAAACTAACAAAACCAAAAGAAACTCACCAAACATGGAACTGAAAAGATAACCCTGAAACATTACTGCTCAATCATTTTTGTCACACACACCCCTCCTCCTTTGTCTGTGTGTCTGCTGCTTAGGCCTCAATTCTGCACTGAGCTCTGAGAGTATGTTTATACTGCAGCTGGGCACACGTTTCTCAGTGAGGACACACACACACTCTCTCTGCTCAAGCTAAGGGTAGCACAACAGTGGCTTGGGCCAGTTGCCCAAGTACATACCCGGGGTTGGGTAGGGGTTGTACTCAGGAAGGTGCTCACACTACAACTAAAGTGTTCACACTACAACTGGCTCACACTACAACTAAAGTGTTCACACTACAACTGGCTACACTGCTATTTTTAGCATGCTAGCTCTAGCAGAGCAAACATGTCTCTCTCTACCCGAACTGGGTATGTGTTCCCCTGCATATCTGCAGAGCACAGTACAGTCCTATTGAAATCAATAGGATTACTTACAGTATAAAGTTAAGCACATGCCTAAACCACTGAAGGATTGGGGCCATAAATCATGAACTCCTTGGGGCAGAGACTTTGGCTGGATTTTCAAAGGAGCCTAAGAGAGTGAATTCAATGAAAGTTCTCTCTCTCTCTACATCACAGGCAGGAGTAGAATTCAATTCTCTAGGGTAGCATTTAACTGTCTTAACCATGAGATTGTCCTTTCTCTTCCTTTCTCATTTCTACATACCTTCCAACTTCTGCAACAAATAAAGCACTGAATCAGTGAGGGGTCCTATGGAAAAAATAGTATGTGATAATGTAATTAAAGACTATCATCATGCATATGAACAAGGGGACCAAATTATGGTTGCACAGGCAACTTTTAGATCCATCACACAGATCTCTGCCACCTGAAGCAATGGAGTAACTGATAGCAGTAGTAGTCTGTCATCCTCCATGTGGACCAGCACCAGAAGAGGATGAGATGCTTTGCCAGAGGGTTTCACAGATATTTGCTGACCGCAGAGGAATGGTGACATTCAGGAATCTTGGGTTTCATTCCAGGCTCTGGAATGGAGTGTAATCTATTGGACACAGACTCTTCTGCCCATTCCCTCTTTTGCCCTATCCCTGTCCTGTCTCTTCCCCACCTCTGGCTCCTCAGCCCAGCCCATTCTCCTCACCTAGTCACTCCCAATCTCCAATAAAAAGTCTGATCCTAGTTCTTGCCCAGCAAGTCCTAGTCTCACCACCTCCACACTCCCATTGTCAGTCTCCTTGTCCAGCCATTCCCAGTTCCACCCCGATCCCACCACCTAGCTCCTTGTCCACAGCCTTTGTGCCTAGCAACCCCATCACCCTGGATCCTCACTGGCTCCCAATTCCAATCTGCCTGTCCAGGCTCCCTCGCCAATCTCAGTGCCCTTACACCCCCTACTCCTTATCCCAATCTCTTTGCTCAGTCAGTGCCAATTCTTGCCACGCACCTCAGTTCTTCATCGGATCCATCTCCCCTCCCCGTTCACCTCTTCCTCCCTGCCCCATGGTTTTTCAGTGTCAGTTTCCTTGCCCAGCACAGCACAGGCTCCCACCACACCCCAGCTCCCAGTTTCCCTCTCCTCTTCCCACCACCTTCCAGTCCCAGTTTATTACATGCCCCCACCAGGCTCCTTGTCCCAGTCTAGTCTCCATACCCCTTCTGCCAGTCCAGCTCTTGTCCCCTCTATATTCAAATCAGGCAGCTTCCTCTTCCAGGCTGTCTAGGCCCAACAGGTGGGTCACTGAGAGCACAGGAGAGAGTCTCCCTGCTCTCAACAAAGGTCCCTGGACCTACCCCTTGCATGGCCAACTATCCAGATCTACAATGGCAGGGAAAATCCTGCTCATCCCTGAGCTGGAGCACACCCAGTGCAGATGGAATCTGCAAGGAATTTAGCCCCTAAAATCTAAGAAGTTTCTACTGAGCATGTGCAACAGATTTTTCAAAGGTTTATAACTTGACCAAATTTGGGCCTATTTTCATAGGGATGGCAAAAGGCGCA